GATGATTTGTTTATGGACTTCTAATAATGAAATAATTCTTTGGATTTGTTTTCGAGTTGGCAAAAATAGAGTTTCATTTTCTGTTTGTAGGCAAATGAGAATTTTTTTGTGTGCAATACTTAGTAGAGTCTGTTAACAATTCCTTGCAGCAAACCCAGTCTTGATTTGAGCAAAAGTGCCCATAAACGGGTACATAATCGAAATAGCACGCATGAACCACAAAACAAAATACCCCTTAACTACTTATCTACGAAAGGCTCGTTCATTTTAGAATCTTTTAAGCACCCTAAGATAAAGATGTTTAATTGATTCTAGAACAACAACATTCACGCATACAAAAGGTGATCACAGAAGGCGCAATATCATAGTAGCAAACTAAGTAGACTGGACCATACAAAATCGACAACTAAGGTTTACTATGAAACCGGTTCTTGATCATAGCATTAGACAAAATAGATCACCTTCACGTATTTGTAATTTGTACGCATAATACTCGCGCAGGGAAACCAAACTCCTACTATATATGCACACCGATATCGTCTAGTATAATATTCCCTGATGCACCTGTAGCATTGGTTTTCTGAAGGAGATCCTGCAAATAAAATAACATTAAGAGAGAGAGAGACTGATCAAACAAAATCGAGCTCAAGTTTCATACCTAGAACCATATAGTTGAGTGCAAGACATGTGAAAATAAGGCCATTGAAAAGAAGTATATTAAAAGGCCTCATGGCCTAATCAAGCAAGGCAATGATAGTTCAAGATTCTTAATTTGAAAAGCGTAGGAAGTTAAGTAATGTTATCAACAAGAAAATATAGACGCTAATTTTAGCAGAGAGAATTTTAAGTAAATTTCTTGAACTTTGTAACACAGTGTGTGGCAGGATTCTAAACTTCAAGAAACATCATATGGCTCATGTGGATACTGACTTAGCAAATTCCCGTAGTCATAATAATAACCTGAAACAGAACAAGACTGGAACGTTGACAAATTAAATAAAACAATTCATAATCTTGGAATCATGACAGTTAGATACTTAGATATCAGCTACCTTTTCTATAAAATCTAGGACATCTTGGTTATCGAAAAATTCTATGCAGCTTCAATCAATCTTTTCTCTTGTGTACTCCCTGCTTTATCTTGAATACATGGCGAAAATGAATTTAAACAATTTTGTCATGGGTTTTCAACATTTACATATTAAGTCTCTAAAAAAATGTGAATTGTGTACCTGATTAAAGTGCTCTGCAGCTTTTCATTTGTAAAGTTATTGCAAAACTGTTCAAAACTAACAACGAAATATAATTGGTTTGTGCGAACAATATAGAGAGTTGATTTAACACTACTTGCCAGTTTTATCCTAATGCCAACCCAAACTATTAATTTTTTAAAGTCTTAAAACCATATATATTTTGCAATCTTACGCCAGTTTAATCCCCATTAGGTTTTTATTCATTATTAGTATATATAAGACATGTCCACACTATTTTTTGGTGGTTAGCTTAATAGCATTTCTCTCTCTATATATATATATGGTCGCGCTCAGAGCCGGCTTTTGGAGGAGCAGGGTGAGCAACTGCACAGGGCCCCCAATTAATTGGGGCCCCATATATAAATATTAAAATATTATATATATAATAATATAAATAAAAAATATAATAATATATAGAAAGAGCCTTTTGTGTTTTGTCTATACGGGGGACGTTCTTTCCTACTTGAGAAGTGGAAGTTGTTATATATAATAATAACATCTTGTTTTAGTTGTATAGTTAAATATTTGTATTTTATTAATAAAATATTAAAAATATATTATTCAATATTGTAATTAGGGGGGCTTAATTTTATTTTTCGCTCCGGGCCCAAAAAATGTTGGAGACGGCCTCGCGCTCCAGTGAAAAAGGTTCTGAACGAAAGAAATAAAAATATATCAGAATCAATTAGATCTGGTTAGATAAAAAGTCAATATTATATCTTTATTAAGAATATTTTAGATATTTTGCCAACTACACACCACCGGTCCACCACCTTCACACGCACACGCACACACGTGACACATATCCCACATTCTCCATCTCACTCTCTCTCACACACTCACACATACTATACCCTGCGCACACACTCACACACACTACACCGGCGACCTGCGCACACACACTACACCGGCGACCTGCGCACACACACTACACCGGCGACCGGCACTACACACAAACACACGACCCACACACATACACACACACACACACTCACACACGACTTATACATACACTGTACACACACAAATGCACCATGCACGGCCCGTCCCATCCGCCGGCCACCACCTACACAGGCACCTACCGCCGCCGCACTCATCCAACCACCGACAATCGCCGTCTTCACTGTCCCGCCGACCACCTCTACCAACTCCACCCTCTCTCCCTGCACACACAGACACAAATACACACAGTACCATCCCCGCCTGACCGTCACCATCCAACACCGTCGACCGCCATCCAACCCAACCCGGCTCCGCCATTCCCCGACTTATCTGGCGACCGCAACTCCATCGCCGCACATGGCGCTCGTCAGGGGCCACTCCGCCCGCCGGAAAATCTCATCTTGTCCCTTACCCTGCTCCAATCAACGCCGCCCTCTACCTCTGGAGGCCGAAATCCGGCCGCCCACGGAGAAACTCACCGACGCCGCCGTTGACCTCGGATAATTCCGGCAAGAACAGGAAGATACCGGCCAAAACTCGATGAATACAAAATCAAAAATAAAATTGATGAACTCAAAATCGAAAGCAAACTCGTGAGGATGTGGCGACCGGTGGGGTCTTCGTGAATAGTCGGGCGGCTCATCTATGGCTAGGGAAGATTTTGGGAAGGAGACGGAGCATCTGTGGGATTTTGGGATTTTGGGAAGCAGATATGTGGGATTTTCATTTAGAATCTGAGTCTCAAGGGTTTAAATTGCAATATTATTAATTTTATCTAAATTATAATTTAGTTTTTAGGGCTAAATTTATAATTTAACTAAAATTTCAAGAGTTTGAATATAGTTCAATTTAGCCCATGGGCCAAAATTATAATTATATAAAATATATAAATGGTATTATTTTTATTCTTTTATACATATCTATATATCATATTTTTCAACCAAAAATAATATAAAGTATTAAAAAAAATATTAAATTATTAAATTTATTTTTATACAAATAGTTGCACTTCGAGTGCACATTAATGTTACACGAGTTACACATTAGTGACTATCAGATTGCAATATAGCGGTAGAAACGGACACACAAAGTGTTGGGTTCGAACTTTACGTTTTGCTTCGATTATTTGTGTTTACTTTTTAAATTTTGGTTATCTTGGTGCAACGTCGACTTTATTGTTTAATATAACTAAACCGATTGAACTATATAAAAATATTATTTTGTTATAAATATATATATAGATTTGTATACATTTTAGGTATTTACAACCAAAAATAATAGACAATATTATATAAACATAATAAAATATTAAGTATATTTTCAGATTATAAATTATAAACTATTTAGATTATTTAGGTTAACTCAGGTAACCACTCAAATAATTGATTATTTCGGTTTTAGTTTGGTTAGGAGAAAATCATTAAAAAATAACTACACATTGAGTGCATATTAGTGTTAAATCGATTGCACATTAGTGACTGACAAATTGCACTATAGTGAATCTATGTGTTCGAATTTTATATTTTAGTTCAATTATTTGTTGGTACTTTAAATTTTAGTTAACTTGGTTTGAAGTCGAATTTGGTTTTTAAAAATAACCCACCCGACCATACTATACAAAAAAATATTATTTTGTTATATATGTATATCTTAACTCTCCACAACAAAAAATAATATAATTTTTATTAACTATAACATTGAAATATTAAATATACTTTTATATTATAAATTATAGATTATTGAGAATAATTCAGTTAACTAATCAAATAAACCGATTATCTCGTTTAGGTTTGCTTTGAGACGAATCGTTAAAAAACATCTGCACATTAGGGTTAGATGGATTGCACATAAGTGACTATCATATTGCACTATAGCGACAAAAAAAGGATCGAACTAAATTCGTGTGTTCGAATTTTATATGTTAGTTCGACTATATTGTGTAAATTTTTTAAAATTTTGGTTGTTTCAGTTCGAGGTCGAATATATATATATATATATATATATATGTATTTTAAATTAACAGAACTGACTAACCTATATAAAAAATATTAACCGATCAAATAAACGAATTATTTCGGTTTTAGATTGAATTGTGACAAATAATTAAAAAACTAAATAAATGCACTTTAATTGCACTTTATTGTTAGTCAGATTGCACCGTAGTGAATGAGATATTGCACTATATCAATTGAACTCTACCGAACTAAAATTTTGTTGTACAAATTTTTATTTTGGTTCGATTATATGTTCGATACATTTAAAATTTTGGTTATTTTCGAACAATACAAAACATATTATGTTGTTATAGTTTTTCACACATTGCAAATAAGTCCCCCATGTTTATCTAATTTTCAAAAAATACCCCCCAAATCCTTTTTAAGGTTCTGAAAAGGAAAAAAAAAAATCACAGCCTTTATCTTCCACATGAATACAGGGACGCAGTGGATATCACGACGGAGGTCTTCTCACAATTATCGTCTGACGACAGTGGCGATGGCGAATGGACATCAGAATATGGATTTTCGGTTGCCGATGCATTTTTGGGATTATTTTATCTGCTCCGAGATGGACCGATTTTCCGACTTGCACACGGCAGCCGCACGCGGAGAAGACGAGACGGTGAAGAGGCGAATTCAGTCAGGGGGCAGAGACGTGACCGGCGGCGACTGGAAAGCATATGATGAATTCCGGCGGCTGCGAGCTTCTGAGGGATTCCGACAGCTGCGAGTTTCTGAGGGATCCGACGGCTAATGAAAAGTCCGGCGGTGGCGGAGAGGCTGGTGCAGAAGTCCGGCGACAGCGGGAATGTCGATTTGGACGTGTGCCGGCGATGGTGTGTGCTGAGTGCGTGTGTGTGCTGGGTGTGCGTTGTGTGTGTGTGTAGCACCCCGTTCGTTTACTAGAATTTATGGATTTTAATATTATTATTAATCGCCTTATTTTATGTGATTTTCGGTTGTGATATAAATTGCTCGTCTTAATTGTCTACTTGATATAAATTGTTATGTGGCATAAATATAAGATTGTTATATGTTTATATATTAACTATGTGTATTTGAATTATTTAGGATTTATTTGAGATAAATTTTAAATTGCTTCGGTGATTTTGGGTTAATCGCGTAAACCGAATTAAATCCGATTTAATCCGTTTTAGAGCCGTTTTGACCCCTTGTTAATCATTTTGGTTCGAGTTGACCAATGAGGACCGGCCCTTTCCTGCTCGTGTGAACAAATTTTGCCTTTGGATCTTGTTAGCTCATTTTTTATTTTTTCTAAATTACAAAATTTCTATGGAAACTTGAGGAATTGGGATAAATTCAATCAACGTTTGAGTATCCCTCATGAATAGTTTTTCCTTCATTTAGTGCATTAGATTAGCACTAATATTAGTAACGTAAATCTCTTAGGCTCCCTTCTTAACTTTCTCATTATTAGCCATTTACATATCAATCGTTTCCCCTCTCTTTTGCACTGAGAGATATCAGAACATATCACTCCATCTTTCTCCCCTCTGAAACGTTCGAGAAACTTGAGATAAACACCAAAATTCGTTCACCATCCTCCATCGCCATCTCCTCGCACTAGCCCGTATCGCCGGCGAGCCATCTCTTCTCGCGAGCTTGTTGCAACCACGACGCCCCCGTCAACGTCCGACCACCACCCTCGACTCCCGAGGACCTCTGGACAACTCCCTTTGCCGTTAGATGCCGAGTGAGCCAAGCGGACGATTTTCCCCGCCCGTAGGATTTATCGTTTCCGAACTCTAAAACTGAAGCTCGACTATCCCCTTTGGTGTTCGGTAAATCCGTTTTGCTAAACTCGTCAATCGTTGATACTATGTGTGACGTTCGTAAAATTATGTGTGTTGATGTCAACATGCTCGATTTAAATAATTCCTCGTCTAAAATTTATCGAACGTCATTAGTAGCTATGAGACCCTCAATATGTTTATTTGTTGCTGAGGTATAAGTGAAAATATGGGCTGTCGAGTCGTCATGTGAACCGAGGTTGAGATTCGAATATTCAAAATGCATATGATTGTCATTTTATGTGGAATCATGATTTTCACTGTTTTGTTGTGCTGCGTTTTAAGACATCTGAGGCTGGTTATTTGAATTCGTGACCTTCATGAGAATTGTAGTGTTTTCAGTTTACTAAATCTAGGCTTTGGAAGTTCTTGATTCCGAGCTATATCGGAAAGTTATGATTTTTATAAAATTTATGCGCGTCCAGTTTTCCTGTTACCCGGCAGCTTATATGATTTTACTGTATGACCTGTTTTTCATGCCATAAGTGCTCGTATGAACTTACACCCTTCATGGAAGTTGTAGATTTGTTTCTTATCTTTCAAATGAGATAAATTGCATGTTGATATGTGCTCTGTAGCTCGAATTATGTTCACATGAAGTTAGATATGCATGAGTTAAGATTTGCCACTTTGACAGTAATCTGATAATAAATGATAACCGATTTTTCACTATCCAAATGATCTCATATGTTTTTTTGTTCTAAATGAAAGTTGTATAGACGTTCGCAAGGTTTAATTTGAGTTTTGAACCATATCATTTATAGGTCTGTAGCTCAAGATAGGTGTTAAAAACTGAGGTGCTATCCATGTCATATATTAGATCCTGACAGGTTTACTGAATCTCATGTTTTGTGTTTAAACTCTTTCATAATGTGATTATTTGCCAATGTGTTCAGCAAAGTTATAGACATTTGAGTTGCCTATCATGTGAATTTTGAATTTCATTAATAGCATGCTTGTAGCTCCAGTTAGATAGTAATTACTGAAGTCTGGTCAAGTTTATTTTCCCAATTGTGGACTGTGACTAAAATTTTAATGTTTGTTGATTTATCACCTGTTAAATGACCTTATTTGCTTTCAGTTTCTTCATAAGAGTTGTAGCATGATGTCTTAGGATTCCAATACAACTTGATTCATGTTCATATGAGTTATATGCTGAAAGTTATGTCGATTTTAAAAACTTATGTGATATTTTCAAAAATGTGTTTTCCTTACTTTAATGAATATTTAAATTATTATATGAACTTAGTTAGACTTAGTGATTATTGAATAGTCTATAATAAGGCTATTTTACTAATGTAGATGTTTGACGAGCCGACCTCACCGCCTACTTTATTTTGTGTTTATTCCAGTCGCAACCAGGTGGGTTCATTTATGTTGAATCTACATTTATCTCACTTGTTATTTCGTATAAATGTTTGTCGCGATAGTTTCTGTATGCGTGAGAACCCTATTCTAAGTATCCTGATGGTAGTGCCTTTGACGAATGCATAATCAGTGGAAGTCACCTGCCCGTTGTATCCGGGAGGTGGGCGCCCGAATCCGTGTAGAGCGGAGGGGATTGTCTGAACGCCCGAATCCTTGTAGAGCGGAGGGATAATTCAACTTCACTGTCTCCTGGTAAGATCCTATGCCTGTTGCATCCGGGGTGGGAGTGCTTCCAGTTACATCCTCGCCGATGTCTGG